TCAGTAACCATTCATTCATTCTGTATTGTTGATTAAGTGAGAAAAAACAGGTCTGTAGAAATGCAGAAATGAAAAAAAATTTTAATCATCACTCATAGACTCTCACAAAACGAGAGAATAAAGAGCAAGTTTCTTTTTTTCCTTTTTTTTTTTTTTGAAGATAACAGTCATTTTTTTTTACATTTTGTGTATATGTGTTTCAATAGCAGCGTCCTCAACTTGCGTACATTTTTTTTCGCTCTTGTATTCTCTTTTTTGGTTTGAAAGTCAAATGAAACAGAACAGATGCCGATGTGTGAGAAGAGAGAGAGAGAGAGAGGCAACCAACGCCGACCTCACTTCATTTGAAAATAACAAGTAAGTGTATGTAAGAATGTAAAATTGCATCGATTATAACTTCGTTCTTTTCTTTTTTTTAACGACTTATTTTATTTAAATGTCTAGAAGAAATGTATAAAAAGATCAAAAATAACTTTAATAGTTGAAAAATGAAAATAAACAGAAAAAGAAAAGAAACGAATTGATATTTATTGTTTTATTGATATGATTGATTAAAAAATTCTCTTAGTTTTTTTTAATTATTCAAATATTGTATACACACATCTGGTGGAATGATCATTTTTCTTTTCTCTTTTATTTTTTTGGAAAAAAATGTAAATATAATATTTCTCATCATCTGGATAGAAGATATTAAACAAGAGAGAGAGAAAGAGATAGAGAATAGAAAAGATATTTAGTTTAGTCTTTAGAATAATCGGCAACTTTTCTGTTCTGTATAGTAGTAGAAAATCTAATCTTGACACATCTGTTTCATCTCTTCTTGTTTTCTATATCTTAGGTTTTTTTTTTCTTATCTAGTTAAGTTGTTTGTATGTATTAAGAAAGAGAAAGAATACGGATTATCCTTTACGATCATAGTTATTCTTCGTCTTCGTCTTCGTCTCGATTATATACAAAAAAAAATTCTTTTGCTCTGATTCTCATATATTCATTTTTCTTTCTTGTTTTCTGACAAATGCCATTTATTTTGTTTTGTTTCTTTAATTTCTGAGAGAGAAAGAAAAGATCTGTACAGATGCGCTATAAACTATTGACCAAAATGCTTTTCTCAATCAATCAATCAATCTTGAAGATGAGTTGAACTTTTGCTCGCGTACGATCATTCTTTCTCGTTCACATCGAACTTTTTTTTTCCAATTATTTATCTTCTTCTTTCTTTTTCTTCGGTCGTTCAATATATCACAACTATTGACGGTTAACACGATCATATATATATATATAAACACATTTCTGTTTCTGAGAATGGAAAGAAGAAGAAGAAGAGGAAGAACTGAACTTATAAGTGAGCCGATATCAGTACATTAGTAAACTACGTATAGTGTTCTTATGGATTACATCTTATTTTTTTATATGTAGAATAGAAGAAAAAAAAAAGAATAGAAATGATGTTCCCCTTGTCTGTTTCTTTAACCGATTCATCGTTCGCATTCTATCTCGATATTTCTTCCTTTTCTCATTCTGTTTGTACAGAATATTATTTTAGGAAAATTCTTTTTTTTTTCTTTTCTTTATTATATGAGAGAGAGAGAGAAAAGTTCGAGCTAAATAAGAGTAATATGTACAACTATCGACTGTATTAGTTTGTATAGTAAATGTCGAAGAGATTTTTTTTTCTTCTTACAACATCCTAACCAACCAAATATATTTATATGTAGAAAGATAGTATAAGCGAGTGTATTTCTTTATATTTTTTTTTTTCTCATCGATTCCATCGTTTTTCTCGAGTACTACAACAAAGTATTGTTGATGATAATAGTTACATTATAACGTCTTTCGAACAAGCAAAACAACGGCAACTGAATTTCTCGGTAAATTTGATTGATGTTAAGAAACTTTTTTTTTTTAAATAGACTTTTTTTTCTTGTATTTAAGTCTTTAATTAAAAGAAAAAAAAAAAGTAATTTCTTCTTTTAAATTTAGACAGAGCATACATCCGTTATCCTTTAGTTTTTTTTTTTGTTCTCATTTAGTAATTCATTTATTTCGACGACAAGATAAGAGGTAGAATATAAATATATATAGACATCTTTAATCTACTATTCCTTTTTTTTGCTTATAGTCGAAGTTCTTTCTATTTTTTTCCTCTGTCGATGTGTTTTAAAATGAAATGATGTGAAAGAGAGAGAGAGGGAGAGAATAGTCCTTCTCTTTTTTATGTGTAACCAAATTAATCTGAGACTGATGCTAGAACGATGAAAAAAGGAAAGAGATGAAAAAAAAGAAACTGAATACGCAAAAGAGGAAAAAGAAGTTCATTAAGATGAGGAACTATCACAGAATAAGACAAAAAAGATAGAATTAAGTTAGTTTATTTCAAAGCAAGAGAAATTGTTTCTTTCTTTTTCTTTTTCTTTTTTTATTTTTTAATCCATATTAAATGTATTTTTATAATTGATGTCCTTGTATAATATATATTTGAGTACTATGCACATTTTCTTTCTTTTCTTCTCTCATTATCGATCGGCCATCAAAAAAAGGTAATTTCAAAAAAAAAAACAACAAAAAAAATTTTTTTTATAAAAATCATTCATCCGCAACTCAGTTTGGTCTGTTAGCCTTCACTTTCTCTTTTATAAGGTTTTTTCTGCTTGTTCGTATTCTCGTTTTTTTTTTTCGATTTGCTTCTTGAAGGTAAAATATCGACATTAACTGCACGTTGAAAAAAAAAATTTGCAATCATCATTATCATCATAGTCAGTCCACCTTCATAAAAAAAAAACTAATGCAAACAATAAGTCTGTTTTATATGAAAAAAAGGCAGTGACGACAAAAACGCAATAAAGAGAATAGGGAGAAAAAAAAAAGATAGAAACAATACAAATACCATTTTAGTATAAATATATATATTCGATTTATTCATTCATTCGTTTCACATCGCTTTTTATATTATATTGTCATCGATGCATGCTATATATATTAGTATGCTTGATAACAGTATTTATTTCAATCCCTTTTTCTCTTTTTTTTTCGATTTTATAAGAGGTGACTAGGTGCGCTAAATAAAACATTTTGTCTTTTTTAGATATGAAGATTAATAATAATAATAATAATAATAATAATCGTTTTTAATTCCAAATATGTGCTTAAGATTTAAAACTGAGTTGCTGCTCATCATTAGAATGTCATAAATATACGAAGAAAAAAGAAAACGCGATCATCATCCTTTGAAGACTTCAATCACCACATGCACTTTTCTCTCTCTCTCTCTTTCTCTATCTATCCTGTCGTCAAATAATTAGATTCGATCTTTATGCGGCGGTCATCAGCAGAATAATCAGAGAATGAAAGCTAGATGACAACAATGAGAGCATTGACTTTTTTTTCTATTATTTATTTGAGTTTGTGTAGAAAAGAACAGAAATAAAATCTGACTTTCAATTTACATATATATATATATATATTTTTCGTTCTTTTTCTTTATTTCAGATTCAGTCAAATGAAAATTGACTGAAATAAATAAATAAATAAATAAAAATTCAAAAAAAAAACAGAAAACGAAAATTTCACTATGACAGCACAATATAAATGGAGCTACAATAAGATTTAAATTTAAAAAGAAATGATGGAATCAACAAATACAACGAATGATCAACAAACACCACCTATAATACCGATTAATAATAGTAGCAGTCGTCGGAAACAGAGCAAACCAAATAGGTAAATATAGACTCATTTTTCATTTTCTTTTTTGACTTCTTTTTTCAAAAGTAAAAATATGACAGATGGTCATTGTTGTAAAATTTTACAGCTCCATTTATAATCGAAGGAGAATAAAAAAAAATCAATAATGCAAGTAGTAGACTCAAATTCTATTCTATAATCATTTATCTCGTTCTCTTTCAACCCATCGACTCTACATACACACATATATATATAAATGTGTGTGTGTCCGAAATTACAATAAGTTCTAATAAAAAATGAATGTTTAGAGAGAAAGAAACGCATACACATTTACAAAAATGATAGGAGACTAGAACTCCCGTTCGTCTCACTCTAATGTTAATAGTTCTACTCTGAGAAAAGAAGATGAGAAGAAGAAGAAGAAGAACTGAAACTATGTGTGCGTGTTTGTGTGATAGGGTTATTGATGAGACGCACTGACAACGTACATATAAACGGAAACGAAACTCATCAAGTATTTGCCTTCAACAACGAATGAACGACGACGACAAGAGAAATAGACAAAAAAAAAAGAAGAATTTTTATGTAAAAGAAGAAATAGATCAACACAAAAAAAAACTCATAAATAAAGGAAAAAAAAGAACTGGAAACAAACTCATTCAAATGCAAATACACGCATCAATGAATGAGATTTAAGCTTTAAGAGAAGAAGAAGAAAAAACCCGAGAAATCATATATAAATCTTGAAAAAAAAATATTAGAACGCATATCAGAGCAATCATATCTATGGATGTATTCTTATTTACCGTTGTAATCAACATAATAACCGTTTAAAATCTTTTTTCACGCTTTTTAATACATATGAAGATTTAATTAACTTTTTATATAACATGATGTTATATCACTGAAAATAAGATTTGTTATTTTTTTTTTATAGAAAATTGTTTTTATTTCAATCTTTAGTATTAAATAGATATATCAATCTTTTCATTAAATAAGCTCATTTCAATGTTGACATGGCAAGATTTATGAGAATCACTTTAGAAATTCCCTTCGGGATGAAAAAAAAGAAATAACCTTGAAAAAAATTAGTAATTTTATATATATTTGTATTCTTACTCTTTTCAACCTAGAGGAAAATAGAAAATAGATTTTTTTTTTAATCTCTCAATCTTATTTAATATTAATAGAATGTCAAAAAACATATTCAAAACTAAGCCTCGAGCTTAGAAAAAAAATGATAAATATCTTGAAAATTTTCAATCAATATTAAAACATAAAATAAAAAAAAAAAAGATAATTTAACGTAAGAGTACCATCTCTCTCTATTAGATAGATAGATATAATTAGATTTCCATTAATAATATAGCTACTCATATTGTTATATTTAATTAAATTTAGACTTGAACATGTTGTTCTTGAATCTACACCACCCACATGCGATACAATAAATTCATCTACTTCGATTCTTCCATCTTTAACTCAATATCATGTAGCTGCTGAACAACAAGAAAGTGGAGGAGTTGGTGATGATGATTCTGATCGTGTTAGTTTAAATTGTGAAGATGGTTCATTATCATCTCATTCAGTTGGTGAACATTATGCAATGGAAGATATTATAAATCGTTCAAGACGACCATCACATCAACAACAATCTCGATCAAATGATAAAACAAATTTCGATGAAAATATTGAACGAATGCTAATTGAAGAAAATGAACAACAAGAAGATATTGATCATGATAATGAAACAATTGGTGCATTGGATTTTAGTTTAAAACTAGATGAAGCAAATAAACATTCATTAAATCGTTCACGTTCAATAAATACAACAGGTAAACCACGTTCATTAAAACGAAAACATCAAAATGGATTAACTGATAATAATAATGGAACAATATCAATACCAACAAGAATATTTCATGCTGATGCTTTTTGTACTATTTGTCGAAAGGTAACAAATCATATATCTATTTATTATAAACTTATATTTTTTTTCTGTGTAGGAATTTTGTAATAAATATTTCTTAAAAACTCAGTAAGTATATCAATTAGATTATATTTGAAATGATTTGAAAATTTTTCTTAATTTAGTTTGGCTAATAAACATGGTATATTTGATCAACAATCTGTTGTACCATCTGTTTCAACACCAAATTTATCCTCATTACAAGGAAATACTGATACAATAAATGATTCAAATCTTCAACATCCATTTACAGTTATTTCAACGTTATTAAATAATGGTCATGAAGATTTTTCCTCATCACCAACTTCACCATCATCTGATATGATACGAAATCATTCGAATAATGACGATGAAAATGAAACTGAACTTAGTTCATTAAGACATGAAATGAATGGTGTTATAGCCGGTGATGAAGATAATGATAATAATAATAATCATCATCATGAACAAAATGATAATGAAGATGAAGATGATGATGTTGATGATGATGATGATGATGAACAAGATGGAATAAATTCAAATTCATTAATTAATCTTCCACAAAAAATAGCAACGATATTAGGCAATGATAATTTAAATACTCATCTTGATAATAATAATAATAATAATAATAAT